ATACAGTACCTGTCCTCTCTCTGACCTCATATCTGTCTGTCCACTGATATAGTGTTTGGAATAAACACTTGAGGGATAGGATTCACACGACATACATGTACTTCGGCTCAGCTCTGGGCCTAACAGCAGTTGCGGCTATCGGTGCGCTCCGGAGTCCAGTGTTGATGAGAAATAGGCCCAAAAGTCAAGTGATGGTCAGCCTATGCCTATGCCTTGATAAGATGCCGTCCACTTAACTCTCATTTAATTATGACTTTCACAGGCATTAATACTTGTGATAAACACACTGATAGGCACCAGACTTATCGTCCATTTCACGCCCTATAGCGAAGGGTTTGGAGCGAAACAGATGGCGTGGGTCGTCCACTGCGGGGCCACCGGCGCTATCATTGCGTCGATGTTTCTATGGAGCGGACCAATCATATCGCGAGCGGCCTGTTATACGGCCGGCATAGTGGGCAGTCTGTCAGTAATAGCCGGCTGTACGCCCAGCGACGAGTTTCTCAATATGGGTCGACCTCTAAATATAATGTTGGCCGCAGTGTTGGCCTCAATCGCGGGTATAAATCACTGCTTTTTATATGTATTCATACGGGTATTAATGTCGATTTTTTGACGGCACCTATAGTTTTAGCGTTTTTGCCGGCGACCACCGCGTTGGGCGCTTCCCTGTACTCGTTGAACCTATACGGAGGACTCGTACTGTTCAGCGCTTTCCTAGTGTATGACACGCAGGGGATTGTGAGGACAGCCAAGTCGGTTCCGGTCCACGCGGACACACCTTTCGACCCCATCAATGCGTTTGTGTTTACGCTATACTATGGGTGTGAATGGTGTTTGTAATGACATGTTTTTATTTTTTCAGATCCATTTGGAGCTATTTTTATGTAATCATGGTATTCATACGAGTGTTGAGAATGGTGACATAGGGTCGGTAGTAAACACCATTCAGCGGACAGTTAGCAACACCCCTATAATGATATATTTAACTCCTTTCAAATGCATTTAATATGTTTTAAACTTAAGTCTAGTTTATTATTTTACCCGTCTCTTTTAGTTTACATTAATTATAGCATAAATACAGTTATTAGACTTTATTCAAACACATTAATAAACTTAATTTTAGTGATATTAAATGTAATTGAAATGATTACATAGTGATAATATTTAAATGTATGATTTGTAATAAATTATAGTTATACCTGTAATA